ATATCTTTCAGAAAATTACGACCCGATATTACACTCCGGAAGTGGACCTCTTTGCGTCGCGCCTCAACCATCAGTTACCCATGTATGTAGCGAGATATCCAGATCCCGGAGCTTTAGCGACCGATGCTTTCTTGCTGGTTTGGAGCCGTTGGACAGTCTTCATCCATCCACCAATAGTTTTGATCCCGAGAATCCTACTTCAGATCAAACGAGACAGGGCGACAGGGCTACTGATTGCCCCGAATTGGCAGGGCCAGCCTTGGTTCCCAGATCTGATGGAAATGCTGGTGGACTATCCAGCACGATTGCCAACACTTCCGTCGACCATATATCTTCCGTTTGCTTCGAAGGAAGTACACCCACTGTGGAGAACACTTCACCTAGTGGTTTGGCCGATTTCCGGACTCGTCTCGAAACAGCGGGAATTCCAGAAAAAGTGTGCCAAATTCTCATGGCATCATGGAGAGGATCTACGCAACAAAGATATGAAGGACCATGGAAATTATGGTCGAGCTGGTGTATTCAACGGGAAAAGTGTCCCTTTTCAGCCCCTTTAAATGATATCCTCGAATTTCTTGCCGAACAATTTAACCAACGTAAATTGGCATATAGAACAATTGGCGTTTATAAAGCGTGTATTTCTCAGTTACATGATCCTATTGAAGGAAAACGAGTCGGTACTTTGCCTTTAGTTTCAAGGTTTATGAAAGGTATCTTCGAGTTACGGCCTCCACAACCGAAATTATGTTCGATATGGCCTGTGTCAAACGTATTGTCATACTTCGCTGAACAGGAACCTTTAGATGGTCTGTCATTGAAAGCGTTAACTCTGAAGCTAACAATTTTACTGGCATTAACTTCGGCTGCTCGGGCACACGAACTGGCGGCACTAGATTTAACTTGTGCCCTCCTGATACCGGATGTATGCGAATTCACTATTCCTATACACGTAAAAAACGCGCGGCCATACCACCCACCACGGAAAATCGTATTGACGAAATACAAAGAAAACCCAACAATCTGTGTGCTAAACTGTCTAAATCACTATTTGATCCGTACGAAAGATCTTCGCAACGGGAATCATCTGTTGATATCACATGTGAAACCGCACAATGCGGTAGGTAGTCAAACGGTTTGAAGATGGTTGTGCACAGCTATTCAGCAAGCTGGTGTAGGTTTGTCTTTTAAAGGACACTCGACTCGAGCAGCTGCAACCTCAGAGGCCGCAGATTCCGGTATTCCTTTAGAACTCGTGCTAGAAGCCGCTGATTGGTCATCAGCTAGGACATTCGAGAAACATTACCACAAAGAAACAACGCAGGGAAGATTTGCACAGTCAGTACTGAGTTTATGTAGTGACTAGTTACATATGTTCTTAGAAATTAATTGGTTTATAATAAACTGTTATGTTTGACAGAATTTCACTCGAATCATTAGATTTCAGTAGAAATAACCGTTATACATCTGCACCAGTATTGCGAGTATCAGTCGGAGAAGGTACGAAGGAGAAATAAAATTTCCCCGGAGGGTCAGGTACTTACCTGAAGGGGAGATGTAGTTCTCCGAGGACCTTCGAAGACTGATATGAGCAATACTGGTTCCCCTACCGAGGTGGTCATCTTTACCACCCCTCCCAGCTACTGAAAATCTACCACCTCAGCAACCACTCATAAGAGGACGTTTGTGCGCATGTCTGAAAATTTAAACGTGGGTTCCAGACCGCTGCCGGCCGCGGATCTGCACCAGTATTGCTCATATCAGTCTTCGAAGGTCCTCGGAGAACTACATCTCCCCTTCAGGTAAGTACCTGACCCTCCGGGGAAATTTTATTTCTAAACTGATTTAAATTTGGAAATTGATTTATATTGTGAAATGGTTTATATTTCAAAATAGGTTTATATTTTCAGAATAATTTATACTTTTTAACTGGTTTATGTTTCAGAATTAGTTTAAATTTTACAATCGGTTTATAAATGGACAAATGGGTAAATAATTTCGAAATAAGTGTCATATTCATAAAATAAGTATTTTTGTCCATCATGGCGCGTCATAGACATTTCCTTTTTAAGTTATTAGCATTGTCGTCTTATTTATTTCAAACTTCAGCGTTGGTATTGCGTATAAGACTGTCTAAACTTTATCCTCTGACGCGATAAAAGAATTAGAGTATATTAATCATGGTTTATCCAGAAAACTGATGTTTACATATGTTGTCTGTTACTTTAGAACTGATAGCTGTTTAAAATGTTAAAAACGATTGTTTTTATCACCGCTAGACACCAACTTTAGACGTATGTATAGGGCAATGATTACCATTGTGAAGGTAGCCGCAGATTGAACCTCAGATTAACTTTCGAAAAAACCCCAATGAGCCACGTAATAATCTAATTCAATCAATCAGAAATGGGGTAGTTGCTTTAAGTGACCCCTTTTGAAGTGTATCATGATTCCTAATTTTACTAGCTCTATAGCCTAACATATCCAACCATAGCCCTTCATAGCACTCCATAGGCCTTCACAGGCCTCCAGGCCTCGATAGGCCTCCTCCATAGCTCTCCACGGGCCTCCATAACCCTCCATAGCTCATCACAGGCCTCCATAGGTGTCTATAGGTCTCCATAGGCCTCCATAGGTTTCCAAGGGCCTCCATAGGTTTCCAAGGGCCTCCATAGACCTCCATAACCCTCCATAGGCCTTCATGACACACTATAACACTCCAAAGGCCTTCATAACACTTCGTAGGTCTCAATTGCCACCTACAGGCCTCATTAGGGCTCCTTAACTTTCCGTAATATAAATCTCGATATGACCATTGCTTTTCCAGCACTGACTGATAGGTCAAAATTCACTGTCTCACTATACCTTTGGTATTATATTTTCAAATAAGAAATTTGAAGTAACTTAAAATTTTTATGAAATTGTGTTAATTATTATTTGTAATCACCTCGAAATTTATACTAATTCTGAAATAGACCTCACACCTCAGTTTTGATAAATTTTCATGCGTGGGTAATTTCTTATACCAAACTCCAAACTCTGACAATAATACATGCTCTGACAAGAATAACTACAGTAATTTCTATTTATTCTGAAGTCAAACACAGTATATCTCGACAGTCAGAAATCTTCTGTGGACATGAGAAGATTTAGTTTTTTTCATATTTTGTCATGTCAAACATTTGCCTCTCATTTTTTAAATTGTTTAATATGTTTTCTATGTCCATCTTGCTGGTGACTTTGTATTTTCTTTTCGGCAAAATAGTAAGACAAGATATGAAAGTAGAATGAGCCCGCTAAACAAAAAAGGAATAGAGAGTAACATGTTTCACCAAAAAATGGGACAATCAACAGCCTACTGTCTTAGAGCGAACTTTAGATTCTAGTGCATATCAGAAGGGGTGATATTCATGAAAAGCTATGGAGGCCTAGGGAGTGCTATGGAGGTCTATGGTAGTATAGAGTGCTATAGATGCCTTTGGAGGCCTATGGAGTGTTATGGAGGCCTATAGAGTGCTATAGATGCCTATGGATGGCTATGGAGCCCTATGGAGGGTTATGGAGGCCTGTGGGTGGCAATTGAAAGAATATTCAGAGGCGCTAAAATGCCAAATTTTGTTAGCATGCTCCAGGATTGGTGTCATGCACGAAATATAGATAGATATGGTGTTATGCAAATATATATCTGTCTTCGCTCTTTTTAATAGTAAACGTAGCATTTAGAGGCATCTCGATGATCTACATGAAATCATCTAAATATTTCCACCGACTTTTCCAATCCTTTGGCAGATCGTTAATCGTAATCAGAGATAAAATGTGGCCTTCGACGCCAACATTAACCTGTTTGTAACAGGAGGTGGAACTTCATGCAATTTTCACTCTTTGCTTTCTTCGGTCCGATAATGTCTTACCCACTCACGAAGCATAAAAAACTAGGGAGATTTGTGATGAAAGCTCCATTGGAAAATCCTTAAGAACCTGCGTAGGCAAATTATCTGGACCCGATCCCTTGTTGCGTTTATGTTTAGATAGTTGTTTATGACTTCCTTAGGTGGGTATCCAATATTTCAAGGCGATTTCTTTAGCCCAAATCGTCGTTCGGTCCTATAGAGAAAGGCACCAGATATGGGAGGCTATTATTAATAGACAAAAAGTAATCGTTAATTCTGGTGGCAAGCTCTGTAGGATTAATTTCTATATTAAGTTCAATTAAACACTCAAAGAGGTTTTTTGTAGAACCACTAGTGACTTGCAGGAGGTTGCATCATCATAGGTCTTTACTTTACTTAAAAAATTAACTTCGAAGACGATTATTAAATCGGTTGCCTGGATTGAGGCTCTTATCTCTGAGGTAATCCAAGATTTGTCATTCATGATGTTTACTTTTCTGATTATCTTTACTTTCTATTGTTATATACAGGTCTATTACATAATTCAGTACAATCACATAGTTTATCAGAGCACGAGGAAAAGGCTCCAAGAAATGAAAGATTAGTTGATGCTAACCCCCTTCCAAACCCCACTTGTTTCCATGATCTTCCCGTCAATCACACTAGATTAGATTAGATTAGATTAGATTAGGGTCTTCTACAGATTACAAGAGTTTTAGGTTACTATAGTATTTACTTAATGGCTCGTAAGATCTTGTAGCGACATTTGTGAACCGATCTACAATCCCAACGCATCTAACCATACATCCAACTATAGAACAAATATTTTTAAAATACACTGAAAATCTACCCTGCTAAACAAAGCGTACTAGTTTTGACATATTCGTATTTTGTGCTACTTTGAGCATGTCGTACGTAATATCAGCATTGAAATTACCGTTTGATTCGGGGTTATGTTTAACCTGGAACTTTAGATTTTGACAGGAAAAAAGTCAAAATCCTGTTATGTTGGGGGCAGACATCTGGTTGTCTAGCAGTTCATCCCTAGTTTTGAGGTTTTGCAAAGGAAGTTAAGACAGAATGATTTCTTAACGGCTTATGCTTAACTTTTAGAACACTGATGGCAACTTCAATTTCTAATGTATCCGATGGAGAGAGAAGATGGGTAGTTGTGGGTATTTGTCTATCCAAGGTTCTTGCACCTGCCTTAAGAAACGTTCTTGCAACTGAATTGCAGAAGTGGTATAATCAGTTGTGTCAGCCACCTGATGAAATTGACAAGCAAGTTTATCCTAGAGAGAAGAAAAACCTATCACCTTCAACACTTGCGTTACAATACAAGAACATCAACAACAATCATGTTCACAAATCGCCAAGTCGCTACGACTATAAAGTTAACGACGCTTTGTCTTTGGCAAAGTTGTTTGTGAAACCATTTATGGCAATGTTTACTGGTTTTGATGATACAATGGATATGTCTGCAATTCTGGCTGTGATGTGTGAAGCAAAACCATTCACCCTGTCTGGTGCAGCAGCTGATGCAAAGAAGATGAGGTCTGATATACGAAACAAGTGGGCTCATTGTAACTTCTCTGATTGGACCAAAGCCATGTTCAATGCTGCAATTCACGACATGGAGAGTTTGTTAAAAAAGATGAATATGTCAGTCGCTGATGAAAAAAGCTTGTGCGATGATCTAAAAAACTGGCAGCACAAAGGTTTGTTAATAATATTGTATTTAAAACATGGTTGGCGGTATTCACGTTGTATAGTAACATTCAAAATACCTAAAAGGAAGCGTGTTTAATTTACTAATCAAAATAGCGAAAGAGAATAATACTGTATTTATAGACCAGCTTTAGGCTTTGAATCGAGATTCACCAACAAAACATTTGTTTTGGATGGTGAGAAATTGTTTCAGTTGCTTCCGAACTTGTTTCAGCTGCTTCTGATATAAGCATGCCTATAGGAAACTATTACGACTGCTAAGAAAATTAAGGTGGTAGACATAGCTTACCTTACGAAACAAATATCCATGTTAAACTTTACAAATATCAAAGAAACATAAAACTTGTATAACGTTTAATGCAGTGAGATAATATTACAAACAAAATGTGAAAACGAAAGTAAAATTACAAACAAATGTCAGGCATTCACTAGTTTCTCCCTCAATTTCTCCTCGTTCTACTGAGAAGGATGACGATTACATCATTGACAGTGATTGTGAAAAAATTTCAGGTTTGGCGTTGTGTTTTGGACAGTCTGTTGATTCTGAACTTTTAAAATTGGTTACAAATGAAGTTTGTGAACTTCGTGGTTCTGTGAAAACATGGAAGTTTGAAAGTGATACGCAGGTTTGTGAATTTAAATTAAAATAAAAAAGAGATTGTATGCGTTTTTTTATTCCTAGCCTACATGCGTTCATCACATAACATAACATGCACTACCGCAATTCATTTTGAATAGAAGATTGTAAGCTGCATATCTCCCCAAATTTCTCAACATTTTTTTTCTAGGTAAATTAGCTTGTAGGTACACCACGTCAGTATTTAATACTGCAAAGCTTTCGGTCCGCTTATCCGGGTTGTAGCTCCGCATGGACTTATGATCATCGCATTAAATGGAAAGATGCAACCATTTTAGCGAATGTAAAGTATACCGTCTCTCGTAAAATGAGAGAATCTATTTAAATATATAAACATCAAACTATCGCCCAAGAGGGAAAGCCACTCAATAGTACGTGGCGTGCTCTTTTCTGTCACAGAGGAGAGATGGACAGAGAGTCGACTCTTCCGATTTAATGTTGAAACGAGTGTTCTCGAGTTTTGCCTAATATCACGTCATTCTCACGTCATTTCCACGCGTCACGCAACCACCTGATTCTCTTCTGGTAAGCTCTTTCGGCCAAATTTCAATACAAAAGTATAGAAAAAACGCTGTTCGATAGGTGAAAAATTGATTTTTTTTGAACTGGGTCGGATTATCTTCATTTTGGACTAAAATTTTGGAGATGAACGGCGAGTTGTTTGTTTTTTTTGCTTTAAATAATCGTGCTGTTTTTAAAAGCAATATTAAAATCCTTGTTTTGTAAGTGAGTTCTGATTACCCTTGTCGGCTGCCATATTTTTACCCGAATTGTCAAATTGTGTTTGCCAAAGTGAATCGTTGTCAGAGCTGCTTTTTTACTGTTTGTCAACTAGCAGGCAGAGCGTTTGCATATTTGTGGGACAACAATATAGGACGAATTTCAAAGAAAACTGCTAAATTCGCGTTTGAATTTTAAAATATCGACAAAATACATTACAAAACATTACAAAACAAAAAAGAGTTTTAGGCGTTATATAATTTTACCTCGCAGAGGATATCAGTTTTTTAATAATTAATACCATTTGATGATACAAACATTCAATGAAAACATTGATAATTATGTATGTTTACTTCTCAAGCAGAGTTGCTGTTCGATTGCACACTTTTTCAGTCATTTTTCAAACTTTTTTATCAAATTTTCACCCAGCATATCATCCCTGGGCTTTCTAAAGAAAATATATTTTAGCTCTTACCTTACACTACAAAAAACGTTTGGAACATTTCAGGCAAAGCGGTTAAATTTTTTTAAATTGCATTTTTTCTGGCAAAAATTCCATTTTTCCTTATTAAAAATGTGCTCGGAGCTTACCAGAAGGGAATCGGGTGTAAACGCTAATCGGGACGCGTGGAGCCGCGTGTCGACTCTCTGTCCATCTCTCCTCTGTGTTTCTGTGTTCGCTAGCTAGATACTTGTCTAGAGCGCGCGCATTAATTATCATAATTGTTTCGTCAGTGAAACCGTTTAATTAATGGCGCAAGCTAACAAATCACGACGAACGTGATATTTAAGTGACGTGTAGATGTGTATTCAGGTTATTGCCGTATTACACTGAAGAAGGCCCGGGTTAGCGGACCGAAAGCTTTGCAGTATTAAAATTAATACTTACGTGGTGTACCTACAAGCTAATTTACTTATTGATGTCGTCATGCATGCAAACATACAAGAATATTATTTTTTCTCTTTCTATCGAAGCATTGGTTAGTTATTTCCTTGTTCCTTAAGATAGGCTATACAAGTTTTATCAATCAGTGCATGTAATCGTAATTCTGAAGATCCACAAAGTATTGCATAAAAACTTTGCAAACGTGACAGTGACAGCGGCAGCGTACTTTTTTAGATTGATGAGTTGTCCGACAATCTTGGGAAAATATATTCTAGCATGAATGAAGAGTTACGAGAGCTGACCAGGAGAATTGAAAGATGCGAGAAGTTGGAATCAGAAAATTCAAAAATGCTTAGCCTACTTGACAACAAGTTTAGCAAAGAACTCTCGCAATTTTCCAGCAAACAAGATGAAGAGATTCCTTACGTTTTTGATGCTCCCAATAGAAACAAGTATTTCTCTGGTCGAACTGAAGAGCTTCAAGACCTTCAACGTATTCTAAAGCAACACGATACTGAGTTTGCAAAAAAAGCTTGTGTAGCTGCAGTCTGTGGTATGGGAGGCATTGGAAAAACAAGTCTTGTAACTGAGTATGCTCACCAAATGAAGAATTATTACCAAGGTGGTGTGTATTGGTTCTCAGCAGAAGATGAAATGTTCTTTGAGCAGTCTGTGAATGACACTGCTTTGAAACTTGGTGCTTCGCTTGGAAATTTCGAGTTGACGTTGACAAATACACTTATAAGGATTAGCAAGACAAGTAAACCATGTTTAATCGTCTTGGATTGCCTGGATCAACTGAATATCTCCCGCAATATACTAAAATTTCTTTCCATCGTGTGTAGACATAGTGCCTCAGTAGCTGTTGTTTTGATGACCAGGAGAAACAAAAGTGTGCTGGTTGAAGAAGTTTCAAGTCTACACGAAGATCGCTGTTTTACTCTGAAATGTCCGAATGTCGATGAATCCAAGCAGTTCTTATTTCTTAGGACTGGGTTGATAAACGACCAAAACGCAAACAGTATCGCTGAAAGTCTCGTTGAGGAGCTTGGAAGATTACCATTAGCTCTAGAGCAAGCAGGTGCTTGTATCAAAGCGCTCAGTTGCAGTTTGTTCGAGTACCACGAGCAGTACAAGACAGAACGCTTAAAGTTGTTAGAAATACAAAAAGCCAAGCCAGCATCATTCTATGAATCATCGGAACGACTGGCCATTCACACGACCTGGTTGTTAAATATCAAGCACATCAGAGAAAGCTCTAATGGTGCTCATGCGATCCGACTTATGAATGCCTTCGCATTTTTTAATGCAAATGAGATTGAGCCAGAGTTGGTGAACATCGGTGAGCGCCCGATTGAAGACAAAGAATTTCATCATTGTATGAACTCGCCTCTCGGTCGTCGTCAAGTTGTTAAACTGTTGACTGATTTCTCACTTTTCACATACGTCAATACGCGCTCTATCACTGTCCATCGCGTAGTGCAAGAATTAATCAGAGAAAATCTTGATCCTTGCGAGATGAAAGTTGAAAGTTTTGTTGATGCTGTCCGCTTGCTTTACTTTGCATTCTCCCAAAGCACATCTCCAAGAAATCTTGCGGGTAATGCCGGTATTGAAGAACGCTTCAGAGCTTTTGATTTTCCCGCTAACCCTTGTTGTTATTATTTGTGGTCTAAGCTTTGTATTCATGCTTTGCATCTTGAACAACAATTTGAAAACATACTTCAATATCTTGATCAAAAATGTGCAGAATCGCTCTTTGTCCTGGAAATAAGCAAAATTGTTTATGAATGCGCTGTCTACCTGAGTGCTAACATGAGGCAAGAAGCGGCTAAACGCACATTAAATTTTGCTTATCGAATAATAGATTGGATTCCTTTACTGGAATATAACACGACGGTGGAAAAAGGTTTATCCGATGGCTCATTATTTCCCCTTGATATTCCTCTGCCAAAGTGGATTAAAATATTAACAAGAAAATGCTGTTCTCCCCCAATGATATCTCTGGAACGTCTCGATGAAAAACCGAATGTGGTGACTGAGATTCCCGACACTAGCCAGTTAGAGGATAAGATTGAAGAGCTTAGATCGGAAGGAAATAAGAGTTTCAAAGGAGGTCAATATAAAAAAGCAGTCGATGCTTATTCATCCGCCATAGATATTAGTAAACAGACAAATTCCTTTAACCCAACGTTGCTTACTAACCGTGCTTCGGCTTACATCAAACTGAATCAGGTCGAAGATGCTTTGAATGATGCTAATGAGTATATTTTTCGACTCCCAGATTGCTGGAGAGGTCATGCTAGAAAAGCTTTAGCACTACTTGGTGAGAGAGTCAGCGCTGAAATAGCGGCCGCTATCTCTTATTATAATTTCTTCGTAAAATGTGGCAAATGCCTATTTTCAGAATACCGACCATTCACAGAAGCCTTCCATGGTTTAAAGGAACGTATTAGTATTTGTGATACTGTATCCCAGTTAAAGGCCGTACTATGGAATAATCAGGAATGCCAACGTGTAATAGTTCTTGGCTCGAAAGAGTATTATTTCATACCAGATTCTTCTCTGTACAGTCTCGTTGTGAACAACTGCATCATGGTTGGTGCAAATCCTCATAGTTCTGTTACTTTAAAATTCGAAGGTCTTTCTTCTTTAAAATTGATGCGGAAATGTATGTTTACGAATCTTTCGTTCGTTATTGACAAAGGTCAAATTCTAGCTCTTCCTTGTTCTTGCGTTAAAATGCTTAATTGTAATTTTACTTCCTCCAACGAGGCTTCTCCACCTGTTGCGGTTCTGGGTGCGTTAAATGCGGAACGATGTAAGTTTAATAACTGCCGAGCAGGCGGGCTACTCTGTGAAGAAGACTCTGGCTATTTGTTAGTTGATAACTGCACATTGTCAGGTAACAGGAAAGCTGGATTGGAAGTTCGTAAAAGTGGAATACTGGTGGCGAGGAATAGTCAAATGCATAACAATGGTGAAGATGGTTTAATGGTAGGAGAGACCGCAGCAAAGTGCGAAGTATTTGACTGTCAAATTTACCAAAATGCTCGCGAAGGAATTGCAGTTGTGGATGGCTCGAAGCGTGTCACTCTCGTACGAAATCATGTTTTTGAGAATGACGGAAGTGGTATATTTGTAAGGAACTCGGACGTTGATATGAGAGAGAACAAGTTCTTTGATAACGAATCTTGGGGTGTTTGGTCGCAGACTAATTCTTGGTGCCAGGTGTCTATGAATGAGATCTTCCGTAACAAACGTGGTGGAGTTCGTGTTGGAAAGAGGCTAAGTGGAAAAGAATTTCCTTGTTCTGTAGTTAAATTGAACAAAGTCTATAATAACTTTGGCCCTGGTGTTGTTGACACTATTAACAACTTCGAAGACAGCCGTCTTGTTGGAAGCGATACAGACGTATCTAAAACTCATGGCGATTACAAATCTGCAAAATATGATGAGAATGTAGAATATAATAACGAGGAAAGAATTATTTCCACCAAACCAAATTTGTCTCCATCATGGTGTTCTGGGTGCTTTGGAAAATGCGAAAGTTTGAAACTCTGTGGGAAGTGTTTCACTGCAGGCTATTGCAACGCGGATTGCCAAAAAAGTCACTGGTCAAAACACAAAAAATTGTGCCCGGTTTTAAGAGAGAAATCCAGCTTCTTGATCAATTCTATGAAGAGATTTGGTTTTGACGGGTTTGTTAATGTTCATGCGAAAGATCTTGCAGAAGTTGGTCCAAACTATTGTCCTCCTCCACCACGAGATGGTAAAAGATTCATTGTTAAATTACAAACAAATTTTGAAACCGTGGCATTTGGTGAACGGCACATGCTTATGATTTATGACCGCAGTCTTCATTTGCACGAAAGCATTCAAACCGAATTCATTGACCGTCTTGTAAATGAATTTGGAGTCCTCTGCGAAAGAAAATATGAAGAGAAAAAGCTTTTTCTTTTCTGCGTATACGAAAAGAACGGAAAGCCTCGATTGTTTATCAATCAATTTGCCGACTTTCAGAAATGGTAGGCAGAAGACTCTTTATATCTTTCGTAAGCAAGCTATATAAAGCTTCATTTAAATTGAACTAAAATATAATTATATTTCAGAACAGTCGTCTCGATATAACTATGTATTACCACTTTATTTCACTCAATATTACACTTCAGGTCGCAAGCGGCCCTCGCATAATCTGAAATTATATATCGTTACTTAATTAACTATAGAATGTGCAAACGATTAATAAATTATATAATGTGCAAACGATTAACGCTAACACAGGCTACGGGATATAGCCGCCCAGAAGTAAATTTTGCACCGTAGACGAACTGGCTTAAACACTATAAAACAGTATACTTTAACAGTATACTGACATTTGTATTACTTATTACTTAGTTAACAATTTCAAATCAATTTTTTCCCCGGCAGTATGCTGACATTTGAATTAGCTACTTATTACTTAGTTAACAATTTCAAATCAATTTTTTCCCCGGTTGGACAAAAAGCCTGATGAGCTTTCTCACATTCAGCCCGCCCCTGCCTGCATGAATTAGAATATTACGTTCCGCCGCTTTTGGGGCCGGTTGTATAAAGCCCGTTTAGCTTAAACGGTGGATATAAGTTCAAAATAGTAACAATAGTAAATTTCGCTTGACATTCCCTAGTATTTATCTTGAGAATTTGTAAAAAACATGCTGGCGTCGATTAAATCATAGCTTTTTCCAAGCTTCGCTTTCGGTGATATATGAGAGATTCGTTCCTCCACGATAGCAATTCAGGCCGGGTGATATATCCGCATAATTATAATAGGACTACGAACAACCACGCATTATTGCCAGGGTGAAATGGAATATTTCATCAAAAATTTCCATATCCTGAAGAAAATTTTAAAATATTATTTCCGCAACAAGAGTACATTCCGCTTGATAGTCCCTGTTATTTTATGTTCAGAATTCGTAAAAAAAATCCTGGTGAGTCGTGTACGATAGAACGATCCCTTTCTGTTGCGTTCGGTTGGAAAGAAGCCTTGCATATGGGCAGTTTTTATATAGTCTCTAATAATATAATTGTCGTAATCGGTAACTTGCAAACGAAGGAAAACCCAAAGTCTTCTTTCAGCTTTCCAGCCCGAGTTTTCCTTATGAAATACCTTAAATATTTATGCCTCTGTGACGTCAGAAGTCAGGACAATAATGGAGCGAATGAAATTTCACCCATGGAATACCCATGGTATATTTATATCGTGAAAACAAATAGCCAAACTTTGGAGAAATGAATAAGCCATAGTTTCTCGAGAGTTGAATATATGACGAGGAAAGCTACAATTATAAAAAGTATGCTTTTTAAACTTATTATTCCGGCGCAGTGTAAAATCGGCAAGAAAATAAAACTGCACAAGAAAATAAAACCGCACAGAAAACAAACGTACCTGTACCATCAAAAAGTTATCTCTATATAATATGTCAATTAAAAAATTAACTTCGGATAAATGCTTGTATGCAAATGTATAATCATATTTTTTATACCTTTAGATTATAGCTTTCCTGATCATATTTTCGACTCTTAATTGCAACTTTTTACTATTGACTCTAGACTTTTTAATTTGACTCTCGCCTCCCGACTTTTATTCATGATTCTCGACTTTTATTATCGACTCTCGACTTTTACTCTCCACCCTCGCCTCCACCTCGCCCCAGATGCTGAACTCAATCATGCAATATAAAAGTGGGCGTGTTTAAGGTATGAAATACGTCATTTCCGGCAGTAATGTTTATCAGTGTTGTTATTTTGAACGTGCGACACGTTTAATCGAGGTCGTGATATTATTACCGTCGATATTTTGAGGATTTTCATGGCGAAACAAAAGTCTATCGATGATGAGGTCGAAGGAGAAACATCGCTTCAATATACTTTAGAGGAAGATGACTCACATTTGCCGCTCACAGAGCAGAGATTCCTACGAATTTTGGTAAACCCTGTTGACGTTGTAAGTCCTTTATAATACTACACAGAAGTGACAGAATTCCTTTTAATTTGAATTGTGATAAATCTTGTCATCGCTACTACATTGAAAATTTAACAAACACGTTTACCGTATGAAATATTTTAAAAACCCCCATTTTTTTCAATTTTGTTTTTGTTTCGTTAAAAGATTGTTAGGCCCTAACCGTGCGTCGTATATAAAATAATGATGCGTTTTGCCAGTTTATGATTTTGTCACATACACAAATCACAAATACACGACGTACATTTATGTAATATGAGTGTACTGTAGAAGTCATGAAAATGCCCTAATTTGCGATTTTTATGAAATATTTCTCAATATTGCCAAATTTTATGCTAATATTTTAACGACAAAATTGATGATCGTAATATATATTTAATAAAAATATTCAATATTTACAGAGATCTTGTAAACACGATTTGCCAAATAGCAAATTCTACTTCGTGAAAACTAAATCTAGTTCAAATTGGAGCCTTATTACTCATCCTCACATGATCCAATTTATTTTTGACTTACAGAAAGATGTCTTTGTTATTTTAAGTGGAATATATGAATATGCAAAATTATGTGTACAAAAGTAAACAAACACCCACAGTTCACCAAAGCTGAACAATTGATTCGTTTGCTAGAAACATACAAAAACAATAGGTAGAAGTTGATGCAAGCACTGTTATCTTCTGTTAGTTTGGTTTGAATTGCCAGACAGCAAGCACATAAGTATCACAAAGTGTTTAACATTTTGTGGCTTTTAATAAATGGAATTAATAACTTGTTTAATTACACAAAGTCAAGGCAATTGAATTAATCAAACGTCTGTGGACAGCAAGCATTCATGAGCAAGAAATGGTCCCGACTGACATGTATATATAAGTGTTTCTGCTAAAATGAGGCTGGACTAATAATATGCTCTCTGATAAGGCTCCTTTGTTTCGACCAGCCCAAATGTAATGGATTAGCCTTCTCAGGTGTCAAGGAACATGATAGTGATTCGTATGAGTGTCAGTTCGTTGAGTTATGCCCAGTCACTCTGAACACAGGAAAATTTTCTAGAGCTACAGAAAAAAAAAATTGTTATTATAATAACATTATGTATATGCTCAGCTTATATGGCTTGTGCAGTTGTACATCTCCTGCGCTACAGGCTTGCTTGAGGCTAGACCATTAAAATGGAATTTAAATTTATATAGCTCAGAACATTTTGGTATAGGTGCTATAGAAATGTTTATTAAGTATTATTATTATTAATTCCCCATGATAACATACCTGTATCATTGCCTGCCAATGTTTTTGGTTTAACCATAAACCAGCATGCTTAAATTAACTGGTTCTCCATCACTCTGATTGAAATTGATTGAATGTAATTATATAGGGTTATGTAACATTGCACTAAAAAGTTTTCCAAATTATTGTGTGTTTTGCTGGCTTTCTACAGTATAGGTAAAGGTCTATATGTAGATCTGACTAAGTGTATTTATACTACAAATGAGTGGATGATTTTAACCTTATGTGATGGATTTTTTTCCAACATCTAAATATCACCCTGAAAAATATGGCCTTGTACAAATATATAACAAATCTGTCATGAGGTTTATTTTCTTGTGCTTTAATCATTCTAAATGGAAAGATTTTATACATGCTTTCATTTATTGATAAAATATTTAAATCATACCATCTTCTTAAAGCAGAAAAAGTTCAGTGGTGTTGTAATTTGTCACAACTGTCTTTTATATGGCATATTATATATTCTTTTATATTTAATATGTTTATATTTATTGATACTCACTGAGGATTTTTAAAGAATTACACATAATCTTTAGATTAATTTCCGTACTGGTACAGTTATAAATTTTCACATTGAAAGTTTGTAGTAATATAGTATTTCTGTGGTGCTGTAAATTACTCATTTACATTCTGGCAAAGAACCATGTTGTTATTGTAGTATGATGAAAGAATAATATGAAATGATTAATATAAAATGAAATATGAAACTAACATGAAATAGAAATCACTCTTTGCTAAGGAAATTTTATTAATGTAATTGAATCAATGTACTATTTTGGTGACGATTGAGATTCAAAACATAATGTACCCAAAATATTTTATATATACCCAAGATTTGTCGGAACTCAGAAGAAATATCTAACTTCCACTGAAATAAGTGCATGCGCATGCATGTATATAATAAATATATATGTTTTGATATTAGATGCAATGAAACAGGTTTCTTTTCCAATATAAAGTATGTTGCAATTTAAATTCCTTTTTGACATATAGTTTATACAGGTTTATGTATGTATACACGTTTATGTGTAACTGTAAGTAGAACATAGAAGTCAACTGAAATTTCAAAATTCCTCCCAGTTGTAACATTTATGGGGGGGGGGGGGTCAGTACTCAGTCCAGTCATGGGTTTTTATTCGCCAATTTTAACGTATACGTTTTTTTCCCATCCTGTTGGTATTTTCCCAAACCACCTGCTCAGATGTGACTAATAAACTACCGAATTTTTTTCTTCTAGTTGAAAAGCATTGGCCCAAAGCTCGTTCCATTCGCGAAGACGGCTTGTGTGTATTTCGTCGCAGGTCTGAGCAGTCCATCCAATCTTACACGCGTCGTTGAAATGTTCCGATTATATGTCTTTGTTTCTTCATTGGGATGCAGGGAATCAGTCTTCGTTCAGCACCGCTACAATCGTCACGTACTGTTGGGCATGATGTTCTCGTGCTTGGGCGACGCTTTAATGGTCTGGAAGCCACGCCTGTTCATTCATGCCGTGGTGGCGTTTGGTATTGCGCAGATCATTTATGTCCGAGCCTTTGGAATGCGTCCATGGAGCATCAAGACTCTACTAGTGTGCTCAACGTATGGCTTGCTATGCTTCTGGATGTTTTACCCACAACTTAAGGGTATCATGGTGATTTGCGTCGCAATTTATATATTCCTTATCATGCTGATGTGTTGGCGCGCGGTCACCCGTCTGCAGATCGATAAGCTGTGGAAATGGAACAACATGTGCGCGTGCGGTGGCGCGATCTTATTTGCAATATCCGATACGTTGATTGCGGTTGATAAGTTCTATGCGCCAATAGTGTACAGAAAAGGTCTCATAATGACCACGTACTATTTGGCCCAACTTGGAATTGCAATGTCGACGTGTAAACATAACATTAACGACGTCGTTCTTAATTTGCATCCAGACGTCTGTAAGAAGAGCTGTCTGAAGGAGTATAAGAAGGACTGACTGTATCTGCTGCAGCGACGCCGAAACTTTTGTGTGCATATTAATTAAAGGTTTACGTTTTTTTACCTTTGTAAGAAGGGCTGTGTTACCTTTGTAAACGTCAGTTTATTTAATAATTCTGTAGTATATAAACAGTATAAATACTGTATTCACATCTAATGTCTA